GATAAAAACAATTTCTATTTCATAGGAATGGAAATAATTAATTAATTAATAAGTGATTTGCTGAGGAAGACGAAGACATGATCTCGAGATTAGATCAGTTAAGATGAGCAACTGCCATCTTAAGTGACTGATTTAATTTTTTCTGTTGATCATCTCTCCAAGCTTCATTCTCTCCTTACGATTGACCTTGTTGGTTGAGCTTGTTCAGTTCCTCTTTGACGGCTGGTGGGAGGCCTAAAATTTTGAATTTTTGAGCCGGTCAAAATTATGCGGTTGCTGGCTTGGAATGATTGAAATTTTCATACTTTATCAATGATAATTACTTCCTGGCCAGCTAGGGAGCAGTTTTTCAGAATGCTAGAAAACTGTTCGTTGTCATTCTGTGGAGTATCTTACAATAAGAGGGTGCGAAATCCTTAATCTATGGAGCAATTTTTGGGCATCTGACGAAAAATGTTTGCGAGTGGGGTTATTCATTGACGGTGATCACCCGTCAAGGTTTGTATCCGCTTTGTTTTCTTGTCTACTTGCGATCGGTAACTCGTCTATGAGATGATGTACGTTACTGATTTATACTAAAGGCGTGCTTCTTGACTTCTATTTTCTCGGCTCCATATGTTTTGCTAGTTTTAGGAGGTAAGCGAATGAATAGAGGCTTCTATGACTCACTTTCGAAGGTCTGAACGATCTTGTCGTGTTTAGCGGCCAACGTGAGTGAAGCATCATCAGCGATAGCTGTCAATTCAGCATCCGCCTTTTGTGCTTCGGGTGGGAGTGAAGCTACCAATTTCTTGTGTTCTTCTTCAGCAGCTTGTTGAGCGGCAAGGACTTCTTTCTTCTCGGCTTCGTATGCATCCTGAAATTTGATTGATGAAGATTACAACGCTGATCACTTGTTTGTAATTTCATCATTCACATGAAATTTTGTTTTGCTGCCCTATGATTAGATAATCGATTAGATCAGTCTCTATGAGCTTCTCTATGAGCTATCTGCGAAATCGGAAAGATACTGTTTCTTATAGATTTAATTGCTATATCACAATTGATTTGTCTTCATACTTGTCTTGTCACTTGATAACAACTACATCTTTAATGTACAATTGAAACAATTAATATCTATTTAAGTAGGCGATTTACATCGTAACTGCTAAGGGTATTGAAAGCCTGTGAGCACAAAGAACAGTCCGAGCATATGAATGGTTCCGAAAGTAAGCAAGTTTGAACGTGGCAAAAATCTTGATTCATTTAAGGGGCTACAATGCGCAGTGCTGCAAAATAGCTTGAAAATGCGGAAGTGAACATAAACTCTGAATAGCCTCGAAAGTTAGCTAGACTCAAACGATCTTCCACGCAAACTCGTACACTGTAAATTATTCGTTGACACCTCGGGCGTTTAGTGCAAAATCACGTTCAGTCTCTTGCAGAGATCATAAAAGTGCTGACAACGACATGTTGATAAAACTGGTTGTATCGGTGATACTAAGGTGGAACCTTCCGATAACTTTAGTATTGCAGATACATGATGGGTTATAAGAACTACAATTCAAATGACCGTGATGTCAATTGCAATTATGATACGAAAATCTTTCGAATCAGTGCATTCTTACTGTATGTCTATGACTAAAGTTGACTGAATTTATATCGCCAGCTTGTTTTGATATGCGATCAAAAATAATCAATGCGAACAAATCACAATGATTCCACCAAAGTGTTCAATGGAATACGATCTTATTGGCGTATAATCTTACAATATCGTTCCTCATAGCAACTGAGCAAGCCATATTCCTGGATGTGTATATGAGCAACTTTGAGTAGTGCTATGATCTGGATGTATATGACGTGGATATGACCTGGATTTATATGACGTGGATATGACCCGGATGAGTATCGCTAACCTTGATAGCCGGATGATCGTTGACGAACTGTTGGACAGCATCCTCGACTTGTTTGTCAGTATCATCTTTGAATGTTTGCGCCAAAGCGGCAAACGCGTCTTTTGTGGCCTGATCAGCGCCGTCCAAGAATTTAGGAAGTGGTGGTGGGCCTTGGTCTTGGGCAAGCGAGACGGCGACGACGGCGGCAACGAAGAAGAGGACCTTCATTATTGGGAGTTTAGTTGATGCAAGCAGTTAGAGCTAAGTTAAAGACGCGATGCCCGGTTGGTGGTGCGCTTTAATGATATGCTTGCAGCGGGTGAGTTCGCGCAATAAATACTGCTTTGGTTTCGTGGAGGTCGTCGATCGCATTGCTACGATGTGGGATGATGTTTCGTGACAGCAAGGTGAAACCGTCTTGGGCGGAGCAGTTCGGTGAACGGAGCAGTGTTACCACTCGATTATGACTAATTAGTTTGCGTTTGTTTTTGTGTCGGACATGTCAGAAACCGATAAACTCGGCTGTAAATCATGCATGATTCGAGTCGTATATTATCACCATATGAATTGGAATGAATCGTCGCAAAAAATCCTTTGCTATCATTGCAAGGAAGTACATCTCATCAGCAAAAGTGCAATTGATCATGATAATGATGCGATACTAAGTGCTGCTGATAGTGGTGTGATGATAACAGAAAATTGCATGATTTCATGTTGATTCGGTTTCGCTCTCTCTCTTGTTTTCGTCAGTTTGTTTCAAAATTGATGAGCTGTTTCGCTATGATATCATACTATCTTCTCAGTTGCTGAGTCGTCTTCAGCGGCGATAGATGACGATGAATTTTTCGATTTTTTGCTGTAGTTTCTGTGAAAACACAGGTTACTTTCTATCACAGTTGGAGAGGTAATGGCTGGCAATAGAGTGGAACAAAGGAATCAAATATTATTTTAGAAGTTCGCTCATTCGCTGAAGGAAATTGCGTTTAGGTGAAAAATTAATGAGGAATATGAAATCATCATGAACGAAACATGAATGTAATAGGAAACAAAAAACAGAGTGGAAGAAAAACAAAATAAAAGAAATAAGGAAATCGAATGCGATAAAAAAAGGAAGTGAACATCATCAATCTTGGTGCATCTGTTAAAAGTGCGAGAGTTTGCAAAACGAACTTATTCCATAGATGGCATCATTACATTATGATTCCGGTTTTAAGTTAACCTCGTCATCACTCATCATCAGTCAGCATCATTCTTACAGAGATTATCGAATCAGCATGACTCTATGATCAGTATCAATTGATCGCATTTCATCAATTGATATCACTTTGATTAACGTTCATATCACTGCATGATATCATGAAATGAACTAACTCATCACTTAATCACCATTTTGTTTCCCGTTTTGATGCATCACTTACTTTTTTGATCGTATGGAGCAGTTGCGGTGGTGCAATCTATGAAGCGATATGCTGCTGAGGAATGCGAGTGGACCATAATCTCTTGACAAAATTGTGAATCGTCAGTTCGAGAAGATCAAAACATGGGATAGTTCGACTGAACCGAATCGTGGTTTATCAACAGACCAACTGCATGCCGTTCTCACGAGCTCTTGAAGCTGATTTCCAATTCAAATCTTAACTTCATCCGAGAAGCCTGGCACTTTCTAGAAACTTGTGAAGAATTTCGAGGAAGAGAAACAAATTTGTTGCTGTACTCACCATATAGTGATTTCTGATGGCTGTTGTTAGTAAGTATCATTTTATGGCGACTAGGTCTGCATGCTGCCAGTCTATTGAATTCCCTCAAATGATAGGAGTGTCAGCGAATGTGACATTACTTATTGTTAATAACACTTGAAGTTATTGTTGGCTCGTAATCATAGAACCATTGATTTTATGATTGGATTATCATGTTCTTTCGTAAAAATCTTATTTAATCAAATGCAATAAAGCTATTTTATAGTTGTTGCTCGTTTTGTTGAAATGCACCGTGATCGTAGAGAGTGGAGAAATTCACAATGAAATCATAAGCAGATTATTTCGGATTGATGACTTTTCTGATGGCTGATGACTTTGGACTGATGACTTTTCCAGTCAAAATATAGCGAAATCATTTCATATCGCAGAATTTTTTTGTTTTTTTTTTTGGGGGGGGGGGGGGGGGNGAACGTGCATCAGGGATATTATTGTTTCGAAACGCAGCTTGTTGATTTATTAGTAGGTTTGTTATGAAAGTGAAAAAATTTATTTCATCGCCCATTCTCTTATGTAGTCAAATATTTTAACATCGTTATGACGTTATGACAGAATCAGAAATTGTTTTGCATATTTCTTGCCCAAAATAGTTTCAGTTTGATGAATGCAAAATGATTCATTGTTTATGGAGCCTTTTTGTTTTCGATACTTCAAGTTTCAAGTGTTGCTCATACTTGTAACGATTTAGTTGTAACGAGTTGATAGAATTGAAGTGATGTGATGTAATACACAATTTGAACCAAAACACATTCATGGACATCGATTGCCACTTTATTGGTTGAGCAAATTTTAGTTCGTAATTCATTGTTGAGAAATTTTGATTGTTATTTGCTCTTAAGAGATGTGATATTATGCAACAACAACTGACGCATTAAGATACCACATTTAGATACTTTTGGAAAACTGTACAAATTTTTTAAATTTTATCTTTCACATTGCGTTGAGTGCGCGATGATATGAAGCAACTCCTAATGTTAATGTTCATGTCTAATCGACCGAATAGTTTGAAGTTAGTACTTCAATTCCAGCTAGTGAGCAGAGATCAAATTTGCCGTGGCCGATCAATCTGCCTAAAGACACTTAGCCTAACGAACAGTTTGCCAAACTTATGGTTTTTTTTGGGTAATTCGCCCAATAGGTAAACTATTCCTTAGGCAAACTGTCCGTTAGACATAGTGTCCGTTCGGCAAATTGTCGTTAGACAGACTGTCCGTTAGGCAAACTGTCCATAGGCTAAATGTCTTTAGGCAGATTGACCGGGTACCCAAATTTGCATATCAAAAGGTTACAGTCAAGACGTTACGCTGATCAACTCTAGATCATGCTAGTTCACTGACTCCTAACAGCGACTATTCGTCGAGAATTCCAGCTTTCTGATCAAGCGAATTGGTGCTCTCTTAAAATTCATGGGAACTATTTGTTGTTTACGTCTGTCTTAAGAAATCGTCCATTCCACGGTCAGTTTGAAAATGGTATTTTTAGGGGGGGGGGGGGGTTCAGGTCATGCATGTATCAAACCATATACTGCATAATTATGAACCGGTTGTTTCGTGGTTCTAATTTGTTTATGTCAAAAATTTCGAGATAATCATCAAGAATTGTACTTGTTGGGAACTGTAGAAGAATTCATTGCACACGATGCTGTCAAATAACTTCGTTGTCAAGTACGAATAATTTCTACTTAGTACTCATTTTGAAAACATGATTGAGGTAATATTGAGAGACGTTAATTTTCAAACGTTAACACTACTGGTCCATTAAGCACTCAAATTTTCACACAAATTTGTTTGTTTCTCACCATTTTACTGAATGATCACTCATTATTAACGAAGTATGTCTGTATGAGTATCTATTCCGCGATCACTAAACGCTGCAAAAGTACTCGACAATATTCCAGCAAATCGAGGAAAAATTCCGGCTGGGTTTATTCAATTTCAACATGCATCTTGCTTGTATCATCCGTTCCACTATACGTCGTTCTCTCACGATATGGCTTCACCTTACCCAACTCATAGGATCTTATCTTGAGAACTTCGTGATCCTTGCAGATGTTATCTGAGGTAATCATCCGTTTCAGTGATCTTATTAGGTAATTGAGCACTTACTGGAATGGTATACTTTGTATTGACCATGACTGAACGGGGTTTGGAGAATCAGCTCTATATTCAGTTCTTTGAGTTTTTTTATTAATGGCTCTCGTTTTTGTTCTGATGGCTGGTAAGACTAGGGGGTTGATTATAATATTGGCTCATGGCTATAGATTCCCTCACGTAATGGATATTTTTTTCTATTTTCTTTAGACA